GGCAAAACTAGCTTATGCTAGTTTCACAAAATTTTGGTTGTTTTCATAGTTGGGGAAGTTTTTAATGGTATTTTTGAGGCTGCAGACTTGTTATAACCATCTTGAGGTTATCTTGAGATGATTTTCGGGGCTTTAGTGTCCCCGCGGCCCGGTCCTCGACCAGGCCTCCACCCCCAGGAAGCAGCCCGTGACAGCTGACTAACACCAGGTACCTATTTACTGCTAGGTAACAGGGGCATTCAGGGTGAAAGAAACTTTGCCCATTGTTACCATGACCATGCAGTGGTCTGTTTTATTTCACCTTTCATCTTGTTTTGTTATGTAAACCAGTTGATTGGTAGTAAAGAGGTGGGGAAAAAAGAGCAAAAGCTAAGATTCCATAAGCACAACTAGATGAGTACAACTAGGTGAGTACCTAATGTTCTAGGGGCCTTCCCTGGTAATTGCAGATATGATTATCTTTAAATGTAAGGTGTTCATATTGTCACTTCTCCCTGCGCCTCTCTGAGGGGACCAGGTTCTAACTCATGGTCCCCTGTAGACGAATAAAACCCTACGACTGATGGCACCTAGCAGTATGGTAGTGAATCTGTGTGATAGCTTCAGGGAGCCTCTGGGGCTCACCCAGAATTGACGTTTCATTACATTCAATGCTGGATTTTATGTAAATATTTGTTTGTTTCTTGCTATAAATGCTTTATTTTGTCATCTAAATATCAGGTTTTCCACTTAGTATCATTATATTCAATAAAGTAAACATAGACCTGTGTTATGTCCCATTCATGTAGCGCTGCAGATAGACTTCCACCACCATGTGATACAAGATATTGAAGTCCGGGACAACTCCCATGATGGTGTAGGTGTCATATACAGTAACCAGTATGCTATTGCCAACCCCGACGCTCGTGTCTTCAAGGGCTGCTCCTTTACTGGTAATAAAAGACACGGCCTAAGTCTGAAGCAGATGGGAGTCAACATATCTCGTGAGTTTTATGTAGTTCATTTGTTTTGTAACCATTTTGCTCGTCATGTGATTATATACCCATCCTGTGACCCATATACTCATCCAGTAAATGCCCTAGACCTATGCTGTGACCCCAGGCCCATCCATAGACCTGAGTCCCATCATTTGACCCCCATACCTAACCTGTGATCCCAGACCTAACTTCTGATCCCAGGACTCATCCACTGAACCCAAGGAGACATCCTCTGATCCCTCCTGACTAAACCTCCAACACCGAGGACTCACCCTCTGACTACGAGACCCATTCTCTAACCCCCAAAATCCATCCTCTGGCCCCCACAACCCATCATCTGGCCCCAGACCCATCTTCTAACACCAGAACCCATCCTCTGACCCCTAGATATTTTATGACAACCAACAAATATACATTACTCCTGAATTATTTTCAGGTATAATGAATAGTCTCTCCGTATATATTGTGGTCACCTAGAAGTGTAGTGCACCTCTCGGTGAATATTATCCCTGTGAGAAGAGACTACATACCACCCTTCAGCAATTTCAACTTTCAACTTTCATTTCAACTTTCCTTCATTCACAAGGAAATCACTCTGATGTGATATACCTGTATATTAGTGAGAAAATTGATATTGGGGCAATGGGTTGACTCAGACCAGTGATCTAGGTACTCCCAGCCATGCGCCTTACCCCTGTACCATGACCTGTTATAAGTTATACAACCTGGGATTCCACTGAGTCCACCTACACCAGAGTGCTTGGGGGTTTTATGAAAACTGGCTTCAGTAGAAGCCTTCAGACTTCCTGTGTATTCAGTGGGATCCCAGGTTGTACAACTGGTACCAAGTCATGATACAGGGGTAAGGTACACGGCTGGGAGTTCCTCGATCTCTACTTTGATCATAGCCTCGGTGTTTTAATAAAACCATTTGCTTGAATTATAAATCATTTATAATAATTTAGTAATAATAGTTATTAAAAAATATATACTGGTTATGCACCGGATATTAAAGAACACATGACCTCAGACTGCAAGGAATAACGTTTGCGATGAGGCTTCTATAACAAAGCGAAAGTACTATTGGAAAACTATATTAGTATTTCGCTGTGATTGTTCATTCATACTGATTATAAATTCTTTGTATATATAAGTCTTAGTTATTTGATTGTAACTAACATATGTTTGAACTTAACCTTCCCCAGAGTCTGATCTACATGGAAATGATGGTTCTGGGCTACATTTCAACCCATTTTTATCTCGTGCTGACCAAAGGGAACTGACAGGCTGGCTAAAATTACTGGAAGATAAATACATAAAAATTCCAGGTGAGTTAAATGAGCAGAAATTCAAATCATTTATTAATTATTTATCTGTATAAATTATTTCATCAGTCCAGGTGGATTTGATCCCTTGACCTGATGTGCTGGGAGACAAGTACTGTATAGACACCAAGCATGATGCCATATCTAATGTCTTGCATTGTAGTGCAAGACAGCTGGCAGTTGAGCACAGTTGACTCCCAACCTAACGGTTGCAAGTATGATTTCCGTATACTGTAGCACGAGAATTTGGCATGTTTCCCTACTCCCATAATACTTTTGTTTGCCTAGCAGTAAACGGGTACCCTGGGAGTTAAGCGACGGGTGTGGATTGCATCCTAGTTAAGATCATTAGTCGGCCTAAACCTAAAGGGACTTCTGTAATGGGAAAACCGTATAACAGACAAGGATAAATGCAAACTGCCTGTTATGGCCTCACTTAGCCAGTAACCGGGTTCTTTTAACTCAAACTTTCTATGGGACCTTAGTGCCTCTTCTTACTTGATCCAACTATGAGTCATAGATAAGATATTTAGAACTGGCAGTAATAGACAATCAAATGGGAATGGAGGGTAAACACCAGTTAACAAAATGGTCACCATGTGTGCTTCTTAGCTATATACACTTCTTACATATGTACATAATATAATATCACAGGTGTCACTTTCATACAGAACACTACAAACATCTGCAGTCTTCTAACCCGGCGAGTCCACTAATATCTTCTATCGTACACCACTCAAGACACCTTCCCTGAGTCTGTCTTCTATGGTACTCATGTCGGCGAGTTCACCTTTCTCAGTAAATCATATGCCAGTCCTCCACAGTATCGTCATGTTGTCAAAACGCCACTTCAGCTTTCCAGCAACACACTGGCTGGTCTCCAGCAACACACTAGCTGGTCTCCAGCAGCATGCTGGCAGGAGTCTCCAGCAACACACTAGCTGGTCTCCAGCAGCATGCTGGCAGGAGTCTCCAGCAACACACTGCCTGGTCTCCAGCAACATGCTGGCACGAGTCTCCAGCAACACACTAGCTGATCTCCAGCAGCATGCTGGCAGGAGTCTCCAGCAACACACTGGCTGGTCTCCAGCAACACATTGACTGGTCTTCAGCAACACACTGCCTGGTCTCCAGCAACACACTGGCTGGTCTCCAGCAACATGCTGGCAGGAGTCTCCAGCAACACACTGGCTAGTTTCCACACAGGCTTCAGCTATAACAAACCTGAACAGACGGACATTAATTCCGTCTCGTAACTCAACTTGGCCATCCCAGGATACATCCGTCCAATCACCAAGAATTCACTGGGTATCAGACAAATCACTGTCTGCACCGACTTGGCCCACTTGTTCATGTCTTGAGTTCAGGACTGGCCTGGTTGAACTGATTCCTGTTGACCAAGGTACCACCCACATCGCTTCTGAGGTGTTAAAGATGAATATTAAGAAGAAAATTACACAGGTGTCAATAAGATCACAGATTTCGACCAGGAACAGAAAATGGGTCGGGTGCACTCAGCAGATGGCATTGACATCATCACACCTTCCCTTCTAAAAGAATTGGGGTTGGGTGTGCTCAACAGATGGCATCAACGTCGTAACTGCCCATCCTCAAAAAATTTGCCAAATGCTTAATAATCTAGCAACTGGGGCTAATGAATGAAAAACACCTTACACATGTCACAACAAATTGTTTTCGAACATTTCATGAAAAATGCCTCGCACATGCACTATAAATTAAAATAATTTCCAGTTTGACCAAAACATATTCAGATTCAGATTCAGATTCAGATGTTTATTCAGGTAAGGTATATACATACAAGTGATGTTACATTAATGGATTGATATATAGATAGAGCTAGTACATACAATGCCTAAAGCCACTATTACGCAATGCGTTTCGGGCAAGAAAAAACATTAATATCTAGAACTTAATACTAATTGAGCATAAAGAATAAAAGATGTTGAGAACAAATACAAATAAAGATAAAAAAAAAGGGGGAACATGACTGAAAAAGCAGCACAAATACAATAGGTTGACAAACAGTGTTGATTAAAAAAAAAAAGAAAAAAAAAGAAAATAACAGACATGGGTTGACAATAGAGGAGTGAGGTAGATTACAGGGAATTTATTAGGTAGTGTTTAGTTTTTATCTTAAACTGGTTGAGAGAGGTACAGTCTTTAACATGGTTGGGAAGGTCATTCCACATTCTGGGCCCCTTGATTTGCAGAGCATTTCTAGTTTGATTAAGACGTACTCTAGGAATATCAAAACTGTATTTATTTCTGGTGTGGTGCTCATGGGTTCTGTTACAACCTTCTATGAAGCTTTTAAGATCAGGATTGGCATTATAGTTTAGCGTTTTATATATGTATAATACACATGAGAGAATGTGCAGTGACTTAATATCTAACATATTAAGAGATTTGAGTAGGGGTACCGAGTGATGTCTGGGGCCAGAGTTGGATATTGTTCTAATAGCGGCTTTGTGTTGGGTAATTAGAGGACGTAAGTGATTTTGGGTAGTAGAACCCCAAGCACAAATACCATAGTTGAGATAAGGATAGATAAGGGATTATATAACCTAACATAATTACAGTATGCACAAAACGATAATAAATAATATTTATATATATGAGATTATTTTTTATTATACAGTGTAGGACTAGTACGAATGTGTTTTTATAGATGTCTTCAGCTTGAATGTCTATGGTTTGAGGGTGGGTTTTTCTAGGTAAATTTTCTAGGCTTTCTAGGTCAATTACTGACCTTCCTCCAGCATGCAACCCACATCAATTGCCTGACTCCTGGGTACCTATTTTACTGCTAGGTGTATAGAGGCATGAGGTAAAAAGAAATGTGCCCAGACACTTATTTATTTGTGAAATTTATGTAAAGATTTACACTAAGTGTTTTGCACTCTCCTTAGTGGTTTGTCAAGGTTGTATGTGATTAGGACGAGACTTACATCTGAACGACTAATATTACTTTGATTAGTCGACAATGACTTTTATCAGCTGGGGAGCCGGGCAGCGTGCTATCCGCTCAGGGAGCCAGTCGGCCATGCGGACAGCACCCTGGACTTGTGATCCTGTGGTCCCGGGTTCGATCCCTGGTGCTGGCGAGAAACAATGGACAAAGTTTCTTTCACCCTATGCCCCTGATACCTAGCAGTAAAATAGGTACCTGGGTGTTAGTCAGCATTCACGGGCTGCTTCCTGGGGGGTGGAGGCCTGGTCGAGGACCGGGCCGCGGGGACACTAAAGCCCCGAAATCATCTCAAGATAACCTCAAGATAACCTCAAGCTGTTGAGATGTAAGTCTCATCCTAACCACACACTCAGACCCTGACAAAGCACTCAGGAGAGTGCGAATGACTTGGTGTAAATCTTTACATAAATTTCACAAATAAATAAGTGTGGGTTTTTATCCCATGTTATTATGTCTGTGAGAAGACATTACCATTACTTAAAAAATATAATGATATTTGATATCAAATGATAGAGAAAAATTTGGATGTAATAAAATTTTGGATGCAGCAGAAGTGGTCCAGAACAAATCTGTTTTAGACAGGAGTACAAATTTACTCTATAAGTACAATATTAGCATGTACAAATTTTTATTATTTTCCTATACCATACATAAATTAGTTACAAATATGATACAATTGCAGACACAGCATTTTATCATTAGCATCAAAAATATAATTTATATACAGTGGCAAAAAAGTGTATTTTCTGGGGGGAGCCCCTACGGCTCCCTGGAGCTTATCGGGCTAATGTGTGTTATGTTAGACCGGGACATTAGCTATGGAGTTCAGACCTACCAGGGACCAGCGCCAGAACCTGGCCCCTTCAGAGAGGTTTCAGGGAGCAATGGCCCTGGAAAACCCCATATAGTTGGGGGTTTTCCGTATCTGCCATCGACCGGGGTTAGGCACCCAGAAAGGTAGGCGTAACAAAACAAACCCCACATGGTAAAAAACTACAACAAAAACCGAACAGAGAGGTAGAAAACTCCCTACAATCCCAAGGAAAACAATCAAACAATCAATTTACTGCCGCGCCGGTCGTCCGCGCAGCCCTCCCCTCCCCGGGAGGGGGAGGGGGGGGGGCCCCGGACCTCACCGCGCCGGCTGCCGTCAGTTCGCAAGCTAGTGTCAACCGGGATAGACGCTTCTCTGGCCTCAAATTCCTTGGCGGTGTTTGCCTCGTGTGGCGTTCTCTGCTGTTGTCGTGGTGTGCGGTGGCCAGGAGTACTTCATCAGTGCCGGGGCTGCATGCGTCTAGGGCTTCCTTCCCTAGGCGCCCTGTGAGTACTGCCCTTGCGTGTCAGGGTTATCTTCTCTGGGGCGTTCGGGAACCGCTCCCGTAGAGGTTTTTGCTGCTCGGCATTTGCCTCGCCCTTGGGGCCAGCTGGGGCTTGGGGCCCTTGTTTGGCCTTGGGTAGGGAGTGGTATTGTGCTGGTTAGGGCGTCAAGGTGTTGCGCGGCCTGCCACCTAAGCGGCGACCGGTTCCTGTTGCTCTGGGGACGGTGTACTTTTGCGGGGTTTTTCTTTTGTTTTGTTTTTGGTTGCCTGGTGGAGGTGCTGCCTCGTGGGCCCATAGTTCCCCTGGTATTGTTTTGGTGGCCCTCTGCTAGGCCCCCGTGCTTGTACACGTCCCAGGGGTTTTCAGTATTATCAATTACCCGTGTTTTGTTTGGGTTTCTTAACCGGTTAGCAACACCTTGCCCGGGCTTCCCGTAGTTGCTAACCTACGGGCCCTGGAAACCCCTGTCGGGGCTCGGGGACCCATGGAGGCGTCTCCCGAGTTCCAGCCTGCCTTGTGCGGGTTTGAAGGTTGCAGTGTGCCCTTGTCTCAGGGTGACAGTCACCTGTTTTGCCTCCGTCATGCTGCCTGTTGGGTCAATGACACCTTTGACCCGGAGTCTTGCGAGTCCTGTTCTCTGCTTGTGCTCAGGTTTTACTCTGAGGATGTTCCTATTAGAGTACAGGCAGCA